GCAGGGAGTCCCGGGGTCGCCGCTACCCCCTCCGTCCTCCTCGTCTTCCCCCGGGCCGGGGGCGGTCCCGGCGCGGCCGCAGGTCCCGTTCCAAGTGGTGCTGGTGGGGCTGGAGCCTCCTTCGACCGCGTCCCGGGGCCGGGGCTGCTCCATCCCGAGGTTAAGTCACGGCCATCCCGGTCCTGCCGGGGCTGGAGAAAGAGAGAGGGGTCAGTGAGGGGCAGAGACCCCCAAAATGGGCCGCGATCCCCCGAATGGCCTCTGGGGACCCCCCGACCCATCCCAGGACCCCTCAGATGGGTCCCACGAACCTCCGAAAAGGGCTCCGGGGAACCCCCGAATGGCCCCGGGACCCCCAGATGAGCCCCGGAGGAACCCGCAAATGGACCGGGAGGGGGAGTTGGCGGTATTTTGGACTCACCGCGCCGGTACCGGCGGTGGGGGGGGGGGTCGCCGCCGCCGCCCCCCCCCAGGTCCCCTCACGGCCGCACTTCCTCTTTCCACCCGCCGCCGCGCCGGCCACGCCCACTTCCGGGGAGAGGCCTCGCTCGAGAAGGGAGCTCCGCCCGCCCCTAAAGGGGTGTGGCCTCTCAATAAAGGAGTGACCACGCCCTTTCGGCGGGCATGGACACGCCCCTCAGCTGGGTGTGGTCGCGTTCCCTTCAATGGGCATCGCCACGCCCCGTATCCTTGTCCCCGCCGTTTAAAGGGGCATTTCACACCTTAAAAGGGCAATGCAACCCGATATCCGCAGGGGTCTCCGCGCGTCCCGCACTGCCGCCCCCGCCAGGCCCCCCCCCCCCCCCTGCCAGGGCCCCCCCTGTGCGACCCCCTCTCTTTTTCTTCCCCGGGACTGACCCCACGCGGGACCGGCTCCTTTCCCTACGGTCAAGCCTCGAATGCCGCCCCCGCCCCTGCCAGACCCCGCACGGGACCCCCCGACGGCCCCGTACCGCTCCCAGTCCCGCCCCTCCGCATCTCGGCCCCGCCGCGATCCCCGCGACGGCAGCGACGGTGAGACCCGGGCGGGGGGACCGAGCGGAGATGAGACCCCCGAGCGGGGATCTCCCCCAGGCCTCGGTGGGAACACTGGGAGAGCTCTGGGATGGTGCTGGAGGGGCAGGGGGAGCGAGTGGGGATGGGAACCCGCTCGGGAACTCCCCCGGGCACCCCCCCATTCCCCTCCAGTCCTGTCCCACAGCGCCCCCAGTGCTCCCTCCCAGTGCTCCTAGAGCCCCTTCTCAGCACTCCCAGTACTGCCACAGACCCTTCCCATCTCTCCCAGTTCCCCCAGTTTGCCATTTCCCAGTGCCCACTCCCAGTGCCCCCATCTCCCCCAATTCCCCCTCCCAGCGCCCCCAGCCCAGTCCCTTCCAGATGTGCCGCCCCTCCCGCGGCGTCGCTGCCAGATGTTGGGTGCGGGGAGGGGGTCGTAGGGAGGGGGACACGAGGAGGGGGTGGAGGGTCGGGGTCGCTCACCCCCCTCCCCCGCAGAGCCCGGGGGGCGATGGACACCGGCGCCCCCCCCGCAGAGCCCCGCTGTGCCCTCGGGCCCCGGGGACCCCTCGAGCCCGTCCCGGCCGCGCTCTGCGCCCTCGGGGCACTCCTGGGCCTCGGTTGTGGCTGCTTCGGTGAGGGGGGCACGGGGCTGACCCCTGGGGACACGGCTGGGGGGCCGGGGGGCTCCTGGGGCGGGGACTGAGGGAATCCCGAGGGAGGCACTGCTGGGGGGTTCGAGGGGACTCCTGGGGCACTGTCAGGGGGCGGGGGGGAGTCCTAAGGGCACACCGGGGAGGACCCCGAGGGGGGCACGAGTGGGGGAGCGGTGAGGGGGCTGGGGAGCACGGCGGGACCCCAGAGGGGGACCCCCAGGGACCCTGAGGGCATGGCTGGGGGGACTGGGGGGACCCTGGGGAGGCAGGGACCACAGCTGGCACCCAGAAGAGATGGCACAGGGGACGCTGGGGGACAACTGGGGGTCCTGGGCAGAGTGGATGGCACAGGGGACAGCGGGGGGCACGGAGTCACTGTGGGGCACAGAGGACACCGCGACCCCCAGGGACTGCCCAGTGCCCACCAGCACGGCCCCCACTGACCCCCACCGCCCCCCAAGGCTACCGCTGCTTCAGGGCCGTCATGTTCCTCTCGGGGCTGCTCTTCGGCTCCGCCGTCATCTTCCTCCTGTGCCACCGGGAGCGTGTCCTGGGGTCCCCGCTGAGCCTGGAGGCGAGCGCGGGCATCGCGCTGGGCATCGGGCTGCTCTGCGGGCTCCTCACGGCGCTGCTGCGCAGCGTGGGGCTCTTCACCACGGGGCTGCTGCTGGGGCTGCTGGTGGCCGCGGCCGCGCTGGCCGCGCTGGCCCCGGCGGAGCCCCCCGGCAGCCCCTGGGTGGGCGCGGGGGTGGCGCTGGGGCTGGCGCTGCTCGGAGCCCTCTCCGCGCTACGCTGGCCCCGCGCCCTCACCGTGCTGGGCACGGGCGTGGGGGGCGCGGCCGCCCTGGTGGTCTGCGCGGATTATTTCGCCGAGGGGGCGGCCCTGGTGGGGTTCGCGCTGGCCCGGCTGCGGGGGGCGCCGGGGGGGCCGCTCTGCTGGCCCGGGTGGGCGCTGCTCGGAGCGTGGCCCGCGCTCAGTGTCACCGCCGTGCTGCTGCAGTGGAAGGTGACGGCTGGAGGGGCACCAAGGGGACACGGTGAGGGA